GGTCTTAGGAAATCACTAGGGTGGAGCAAACAGAAATGGCTGCCAGTCAGCCCTGCTTCCAGGGAGGTTCTAGCATAGGAACAATGACCCCTGCGAGCACCTCCATCTGGGAAAAAGCTGCCCTGAATTCCTGCCCTGATGCCAGACAATCCAGTTCCTCCTCATATATATTTCTGCTCTCCAGAGCCTCGCCCTGGTGCTGGAGCTCAGAGGACATGGGACCTTGTAAATTTATTTTGTGGTGCCGGCCTTTTAAGAGTTTTATTGATTTTTTACAGAGAGGAAGGGAGAGAGAGAATTAGAAACATCGATGAGAGAGAGACATTGATCAGCTGCCTCCTGCACATCTCCTACTGGGGATGTGCCCGCAACCCAGGTACATGCCCTTGACTGGAATCGAACCTGGGACCTTTCAGTCTGCAGGCTGACGCTCTATCCACTGAGCCAAACCGGTTTCGGCTGCACTGGTTTTTACATCCTGTAATTCTTACTGCTTTTAGGGACTTCTTTTCCCAGCTCTGGGACCCTGGGCTGGGGGTCTGGTGTGGGGCTGGGATCACTTGGTCCTCCAGGGCGCCTCCACAGAGATGATCTTCCTTCTGATTAAAAAAGTGGCACACGTGGGGGCCGGAATAGCCCACCAGCCTGTTTCGTGCCTCCGCACTCCTACCAGTGTCAGTATGCTTTCTTCTTTACGTTAGTTGTAGGACTTCCATTCAGCCAGCTTTCCAGCAGTTCTAGATGATGGTTGTTGTGTATTTCAGTTGTAATTTTGATGTGGTTGTGGGAGGCAGCCAGTACAGACATTTACCTATGCCGCCATCTTCAAATCTCCACTCTTTACTTTTTAAAATGTGGCTACTAGAAAGTTTAAATGGTGTAAGTGGCTTGCCTTATGTTTCTATTGGATAGTGCTGCTGTACCATTAAAATCATTATTATTCAAACTTTTGTAATAATAATATGTTGCATTTAGAGGGCACTTAGAACATCCCAGGCTCTTTACATATATGATCTAATTTTGAATCTTAAATTTTGAATCGAAAAACCAGCACAAGAATTGATATGTCTCAGTTTCCACTCTGTTTCTCACACTAGTTTTGTGTGTGGATCTTTTCAGTTTCTATATGTGGTGTATTAACTTGTTAATTCTCACACCAACACTGTGAAATAGTATGACCATAACCACTGAACACAAAAGGAAATGAAACTCTAAGGTTTACGTAACTAGCCAACATATGGCAAGGCTAGGGTTTGACTCCAAGGCTGCCTGAAAGAACTTCTAGGAGCCAATGAAATACCTTGAGAGTCAGGCAAGAATGATGCCACTGTATTTCTCTTTGACCCTGGGAAAGTCTCCTTAGTCTCTCTGTGTCCACTTTCCTCATTAAGGGGTTGGACTTCAGATGCTATTGGAGGTTCCTTCTAGCTCATTTCATTGTTGCCATTTTGGTTTTCTTTCCCCTCTCGATTCTTCTGCTTCCATCTGGTAAAGGACTAGAAGACCAAGGGAATAGATTGAATTATAGGAAAGCAGGATGGAGGGATACTTAGCATGGGAGTAAGAGGGAGAAGGAGGAGGAGGAAGTTCAGTTGATGAGAAATTCTATATGAGGTCAGTACTGTGGTGACAGAGTGAACACCACATGGGGATGTTCAGCTGGAACAGCCCAGAGCCATGACACAAACCTGCCCTCCACCTCAGCAGAGATCTGCCTTTTATCTCAAAGTAGGAAAACTATGGAGAGAGCCGAGGAATGCAGTGGAAGTGTGCAAAGGTTTGGAGAAAGACTTTTCAAGAGAGGCAAGGCGCAGTCTGTACAATTAGATTAGGTGAACGGGTTCTGGAGGTAGATTGGGGTCAAGGCGGACTTTATCCCGTAGCAGCTGTGTGATATTAAGCAAGTTCATCTCCCTAAGCTGCAGTGTCTGCATCTATAAAATGGGATCACTGTACTTTCTTCTTGGGTGGTGGTGGGGATTAAGTAGCAATGACAGCTGCTGCATTTTGAATGTTTACTGTGTGCCAAGCACCCTGCATATACACACAGATATCAACACCCACTAGGGTCATTAGGGCTCAGCCTGGGCCTGCTAACTACTAATAAGGATGCATTAAGTGGAGCTCTTGTCATGATCTTAACGGCCTCTAGAAAAGATTTGGTTGCATTCTTGCCCTACTGTATTACTTTATTTTATTATTTAAAAAATATTTTTATTGATTTCAGACAGGATGGGAGAGGGTGAGAGATAGAAACACTCCCCTCTGTTCTGACTCAAATGGAACTCTACCTACCCCTTCTACTTCTCAATGATGAGAATCATCTATTGGTTGCCTCCTGCACAACCCCCACGGGGATCGAGCATGCAACCTGGGGCATGCGCCCCTGACCGGGAATCGAACTGTGACTTCCTGTTTCATAGGTTGACACTCAACTACTGAGCCACGCCAGTTGGGCCTACTGTGTTACTTTAGATGAAGTTACTTCTCAGCCTCTCAAGTGACTCATTTATAAAATGAGATGATTAAAACAGATGATCTGTAAGGTGTTTTTTTTCAGCTCAAAATGTACAATTGTGGAAGTAGGGTTTATTTAGTGTTGAGAAGACTAAGGGGATACTAAAATATGAACTTCAAATATATAGATATGAATGATTATTGTAAGTTTGAGGGATGGTGAGCAGCTGTTCTCTCTTGACCTTGGATAGGACATGCAGCGGCACACTTGAATTGTTTTAGACCTGGCTTTGGAAGCCTTTTCTGACTTGGGAGGAAGAATATGTCATTGGAGCAGGCTCTGAAGTTGTACACTCTGAACTCATTAAAGCAGACAGTTGACTTCTTCTGACACTCAATTTCAGTGTAACTTCACACAGGCCTTCCCTGACCCTGTGATCTAAACAGACCCCCACCTATTCTTCCTTCACATTTCACTCTGTGGGGTTCCTCCAAAGCCCTTATTACAGTTTGTAATGGCATATGTTTATTTGGATTTAGTGTTTAGTGTCTACCTCTTTAGATTGTAAACTACCTAAAGGCCAGGACTGTCTGTGTTTGGCTCCCCGCCTATGTACCTAGTTCCAGCACAGCAGTGGTCACATGGCAGTGCCTGGTAAATATTTGTTGCATGACTAGATGGATGGATGCGTTTCAGAGGTGGTTGATTTGGTGGCATTGCTTCTTGATGGAGTTGGATCCTCTGCTTGCCTTTTTTGGTAAGAGAAATCCCAGAGACCTTGCCTCACAAGGAACATTAGATACTGTTCCTTCTTCCCACTTTCTTCTGGGGCTGGTCACCATGCATAGGTGTTTCTTTCACTTTAATGGATTGCCTAGTGCCCCTTCCCTGTGGACTGGTCAGCCTGCATCTGGTTTTGGTCGAGGAGTAGAAGGGGTAGGGAGAGTTCCATTTGAGTCAGAACAGAGCCCAGGGAAGCGGGGCTTGATCTTGCTGGTTATTTCCATTTGCTCCCCCAGATACACTCTTTGTCCCTTTTTACACCATCCTGGGCTCCAGGAAGTTGACCTCCGCGGACTGCATCAACACGGATCCCTTGGTCTCTGGCTTCTGGTTGAGGCTGGCCGGTGAGAGGGCAGGGCAGGAAGATGAGGACGGAAGGAGAGAGAGGCTGGGCTCTGTGCCCCCCTGCCTCGGTTCTGTGAACCTCTGACCTGCGGGCTCAGCAGAGAGGGAGGTTCCTCTGCTGCAAGCACAGCTCCTGCCCTGGAGCTCTGCTGTGGCGCCCCCTCCAGGTTCTTACACACACGCCCCTCTGTCCCTCCAGGAATAGCCGTGATAATGACTCCCCACTGTTAGCTCTCTGGGCTGTTTCACCATTCCCTTTTGTTCCCTTCTTCTGCCCACACCTCTGTGAAGAGTCCCTACACTGATCTCTCACCCCCCACCCCATACATTTCCTCTGACTGTTTTCTAGGGCACCATTCCCTCATATTCTTGCACCCATCTCATCTGCTACAGAGTAGGGACCTCACATCTGATTGTCAGGGTGGGCATGAGGTACAGGATCGGAGGAGAGATTGGAGGAATATTTTGTATTAAGTCCAAATATGATCATTAGTACCTGAGGTTTCCGTTTTTAATGAAACAACAAAAAAACAAGCCTTCCTTTGTGTTAGCAGTTTGGGGGACATACTGAGGAAAGGATTCAGCTCTTTCTGGTCTCCTTCCTGGGCAGGGCCGGCTCTGGCTGCCACTGCTCAGCTGGCCCCCTGACCTCCAGCCCTAGGGAGCTGGTCAAACTCCTGATGTCTTCAGAAAAAACGCCCTGGTGTGCGGAGCTGGGCCTGTTAGGCATCTGTGCTTGCTCTTTCTCTTCCTTTGGCTTTGCAGGCCTCCGCTTCCCTCGTGAGTTGTTAAGAACAGCCTCTGAGGTTGAAATAGCTTTTCATGGAGCAGACCTGAGCTGGCAGCCAGCGTGGCTGAGGGGAGGTCACCGAGTTGCCTAACAAGAGGTGGGCTGGAGGGAGAGAATAATAAGACGTGAGGCTGGCATTGATGCACCGCGTTAGAGTTTTCAAAGAACTTAAATGTGAAGGAGCACATTTTTGCTCCACAAAATGGCCAGGTGGGGTGCTTGGCACTGCTGTCCTCACTTTGTAGATGCAGGAAAGGTCTCTGGGGTCCTGGAGTGCTTTGCCCGAAGTCCCAGGGCTGGAGAGTGGCAGAAGCTGGACTGAGACCCAAGCTGTCTGATCCCACATCCAACCGGCGCCCTTTCTGCTCTACCTCTGCCATCTCTGAGGGTGCAGGCAGGGTTGGAATCGACCTCAGGGACTGAGCTGAACCCAGAAAAGCTGGACCCAACTGCAGTGTCCTGCTCCACTCGAAGGAGAGAGCACAGGCGGCCTCGAGCCTTAGCCAGGAGCTCTGGTTCCTGCGCGCCCTCAAGGGCCATCTCCTGCCCCTCCTGTCCCTCCTGCCCCTCCTGTCCCTTCTGCTTCTAGTGGCCTGACCCTGCTTTTCTGTTCTTGTGTTTCAGAGGTGGAGCTGCCCCTGAAGAAGGACGGGTTCACCTCAGAGAGCACCACGCTAGAAGCCTTGCTCCGAGGCGAGGGGGTTGAGAAGAAGGTGGACACCAGAGAGGAGGAGAGCATCCAGGAGATACAGGTATTTCTGTGTCCGCTGGGGGAGGAGGGCGCCCCCAGAGCATCACTGGGGACTCTAGTACCAGCTCGGGTCCTCCTCTCAAGGGCCAGGACTGCATCTCAAGTTCCCTCATGGCACATTCTTTTCTGATGTAACATGTCTCTGGGAAGAAGGCATTGTTTCTCTCAAATCCGTTTGTACTCAAAATATATCTTGGGGGCCTGTTGTATGACAGGCATGGCACTATGCCCTGGGGGCACTGTGGTGAGCAACACAAATATACACCCCCCACCCCCAAGCAAACAGTTCATAGTCCAGGCTCAAAACCTCTGTGTTGTCTGCACTGGCTGGTGCCAAGTCCCTGCCTCACCTGGCCCCGCCTCTCACCCCTTCCCCAGCTATAGTTGCCTCAGCTCTTCCTCAGCACCTCCCACGTTTCGCTCAAGGCCAGTGTAGGAGTCACCCTCCAGGCAACCTCCAATTCACAGGAATCCCGTGACTGTGCCCGCAACATAGACCCAGGGCACAGCCCCTTCCCGCCACACCCACTGCTACTCGCCTGGGCTCCCATCTCCCATCTGACCTGCTGTGACTCCTTTCTAAGTGGTCCCCTGCTGATTTTAACATGGAAGTCGGATCCTGTCGTTCCTGTGCTCAAGGCCCTTCAGGGGCTCCTGTTCTCCCAGAGCAAGTCTAGGTCCTCTACCTCTCTCTTCCCGGTTCCCTTCCTCACTCTGCTCCAGGCGCCTGCCTGGCCTCTGTGCTGCTAAGGAGCACCCTGGGCACACCCTGCCTCTGGCTTCGCTCTGGTGTTTCCTCTGCTGGAGAGTCCTTTCCCCAGCGGTTGTCTCTCTCCCTCACCTTCCTCAAGTATTTGCTTCCATCTCCCCTTTTCTCTGAGGTGCATGTAGCCTGACCACTGATCCCTGTATGGAAGACCACGTCCTGTGCCCTGCGCCCCTCCCCAGCGCTCCCCGCATTCTCCTCTTATGCTCTTCTTTCCTCCCCCCCACAGCTCTTACCACTGTCTAGTGCTTTGTTTGTTTTCTGTTTTCCTCCAAAAGAATGTCAACTCCTCAAGAGCAGGAGTCTTTGTCTGTCTTGCTCATAATATATCTCAGCACCCAGACAGTGCCGGGCACACACGAAAATGTTTAATGAGTGGCGCCCGAGTGGACAGATCCCTCCGAGTCCCATCCCCAGTCCTTTCCCTCTCCAGCACGGCCTGCTTTCTTAGCCGATCTTTCATCCCGAAACAGTTCCTCTTGTGCCACCCCCTTGCTGAAAAAGAGTGAAAACACTTGTGTTTCCTACTAAATAAATCCAGAAGGACGAGTGTGTCCTTCCGGGACCTCTTCTCTGCTCCAAACCTGGATCGCAGGCTTACTTCCCACCACGCCTGTCCTCCCTCTGCTCGTCGGCCTTCTTCCCCCTGTGCCGGGGTCTGCTGTGTCCTTACCCGCTGTGCCTCTCTTCCTTCTCCACGTGCACCAGTCCCACCCATCGCTTAGGCTCGGCTCCGATGCCACCTTCCCCACCAAGCCTTTTGTCATCTCCCCACAGCTGGGCAGTCTCTTCTTGCCTCTGGCATTTAGGGTATCTAGTACTGTTTTTTGTTTTGTTTTGTTTTGCTATTCATGTATTACCCTCCATTTTTGGACTTTCAGATCTTTGAAGTCAACATCGGTCGCATCTGTATTGCCCATTCGAGTATTTTTCACTCATTTGATGTAATGTGTCTGAATCAGTGAGTGGGGCAGAACCATTGCCCAGAAGCCTTGATGCTCTAGGGCAGTGGTTCTCAACCTTCCTAATGCCGCGACCCTTTCATACAGTCCCTCATGTTGTGGTGACCCCCAACCATAAACTTATTTTTGTTGCTACTTCATAACTGTAATTTTGCTACTGTTATGAATCGTAATGTAAATATCTGATATGCAGGATGTATTTTCAGAGGTCGCGACCCACAGGTTGAGAACCGCTGCTAGTGTCTGTGGCCCTGGCCCTTTACAGCTGGCGGTGGGTTTGAGTTCTCAGGCAGCACTGGGCTAACCTATGGGATGTTACCGTGGACTCATCATCATCATCGTCATCATCACCATCGTCCCTAATGTAAACCAAATGCCGACTGTGTACAGAGCTTTGGGCTACCATCTACTGTGCTAGAAGCTGAAACCAGGACCATAAGCCAAGGAAATGTACATGTTTTTATTGGCTTAGGGACAGTTTTGTTAGTATTTTTCATTCATTCATTCAACCAAAGTTTATTGAGTGCCTCCTCTAAGCAGGCACTGTGCTAGGTTCCAGGAAAAGAGATAAACCACCATGAGAGACCTTGTATTCTGGTGTGACATGCAGACAGGAAGCAAGTCAACCAATAGAATAGTTGCCTTTCAGGACCAATGCTATGAAAAGAACAGAATATGAAGATGCAGTTGTAAGAGAACAAACATTTTAGGGAGTGTCCTAAGGGAGCTGGGCATTTAACCTCAGTCCTAAGGGGTGAGAAGGAGCCAGCAAAAGGAGGGTTTTAGGCACGAGCTTTCTGGGCAGAGGAACAGTTTGGGTGAAGGCACAGGTAGAGCTCAGCTGGTGTTGGAAGAACAGAGGGCCTGTGTGGCGGGAGCACAGTGCCCGGGAGACAAGGCCTCGGATGGCATTGGAGGGGTGAGTGGGCCGGACCACTCTAGCCTCCCAGGACATAGGAGAAGAGGCTCTTGATTTCATGAGAAATGAAAAAGGAAGTCATATGGAGGATTTTAATCAGGGCAATGAATTTGTGTTTCATTAAGATCCCTCTGGCCCCCACATGAAGGGGAGACTGCCTATAGGGCCAACATTGGAAGGAGGGAAGTCAGGAGATTTCTACAGTGTTCCACACCAGAGATAATGGAATATTTACTTTTTAATTTTTTTGTTAATCCTCACCCGAAGATATTTTTTTCATTGATTTTTAGAGAGTTGAAGGGTAGCGGGGGCGGGGAGATCGATTGGTTGTCTCCCTTGTGTGCCCCCTGCCCGGGGATCGAACCTGCAACCCAGGTATATGTCCTTAACTGGGAATCGAACCTGAGAAACTGCGGTCTGTGAGCTAATATTCTATCTGCTGAGCCACACTGGCCAGGGCTGATAATGGAATCTTTAATAATTTCTTCTCTAAAAAACACAACCACATATCATTGTGATCATCACTGTGAAGACTGTTTAGAGCGGTGGTTCTCAACCTGTGGGTTGCGATCCCTGTGGAGGACGAACGACCCTTTCACAGGGGTCGCCGAAGACCATCGGAAAACACATATATAATTACATATTGTTTTTGTGATTAATTACTATGCTTTAATTTTGTTCAATTTGTAACAATGAAATTGGGGGTCACCACAACATGAGGAACTGTATGAAAGGGTCGTGGCATTAGGAAGGTTGAGAACCACTGGTTTAGAGTAACAGGGAGAAAGTTATTTTGAAATGTGTTCATTTCCCAGATAATGTCCTTGGACGCCGAGATCAGCCGCATCTCTAGTTGCATACCGCTGCCCTTCACTCCCAATACAGGATACCCTCTTCCTCCCTCACCCTGAATATGGCCTTTGTTTGTTAGGAACTCTTGCCTCCTCCCGAGTTATGGAGAGTGGCTTCTGCTATCAGGGCCTTGGTGCAGGAAATGCAAACACACAGGGTGGGTGTTGTCACATCTGAGGCCTGGCTCACACACAGGAGGTTCTAGAGACAGACACAGGGAAGGAAGCTGATGGGAAGAGGGAGGGATGGAGCCTGGGGAGAAGTCAGTTTACTGCTGGACATTGAGGCCGCATAGCACTTCTGGAGGCTTGCTCAGTTGTCTTCACCAGTCTTTCACTTTCCAACCTAGAATCCATGTCACAGATAATAAATATCTTCATAATAAAAAATGAGAGGAGTCAGAATTGTGCTTAGGTGCTAGAGGCAATGACCTTTAAATTCGAGGCACTTAGAACTTACAATGATTAAATGACTTGAAGACTCAGAAAGTTTCCAAGATGGCTGTATGAACAGTAAGAACAGTTAGAATAACTACATCTTTTACAGAAGGCTGCAGAGCATTTGACTAGTCCTGGTCTTGGCTTTCGCTCATATTCCCACTTTCCGCTCAAAAGCTAAGATGCAGGGAGGCTAGGAGGCTTGCTCTGGGCCTGCACCAGTGTCGCCTAGCTCAGGCCAGAGGTCATGTCCAGCAGACGATGCTCCTCAGTTAGATGGCTAAGGTTGGCCCAGAGACTCCTCAGTGCTGTCAGCTGATGACTTCCTGGGTAAACCGAGCAGAGAAGCCAGAGAAGAATTGACTAGACTGGTTTTGAGTTCGTTGGGAGGGTTTGGTAATTCTCAGTATCCTGATCCCTGTGATTGGGAGGGAATTCTCTGACAAGGAGGCAGTGGGAGAAGGTCACTGGTGACTTAATTCCTGGGCTTCCTGCTTTGAGGGCAGGCCAAAGGCATTGTCCAGGAGGCCACTTGGACAGTGATGGCGATACCAGATGTTGGTGTGGTAGGTGCTGCTTTTTAAGCCTTTTCATAGCTGTGTGATTGTCGCACCGTCACCACACAGTGGATGCTGTTTGTTATCCTTTATAACACGGTGGCCACCCCTTTGGTAGCCTCATCTTATGCCAGTCTCTTCCTGAGCCACTGAATTCTGGTCAGTCACATGGGCCTCTTTTCTGCTCCCTGGACAAGTCATGTTTCCTTGCCTCAGGGAGTTTGCTCATGCTGTTCCGCTGCCTGGAATACTTCCCTCTCTTCCTTCTCCCTATCTCATTCCAACGCTAGTCTTTCTTTTCTTTATAGCTCAACTTGCTTAGGTCACTTTCCCAGGGAAGTCCTCCCTGACCCTCAGATTAGTTAGCTTTCCTTCTAACACCCTCTAGTAGCCGCTGGAACGTGCTTGTCACTGTTCTTTATAGAAGTTGCAATTACATGGTTATATATGTTGTTTAAATCTGTCCTCCCTTCACTAGACTTTCAAAATCCATGTGGAGCCAAGGACTGTAGCAGTTTTCTGGCTTGTCTAGCAGAGCACCTGCTGTGTAGTCAGCACTAGACAAATGTTGGTTGAATGAGTGAGTGAATTTCTGGTTTATAATTAGGAAAACACGCATGAGGAGAGGATGACTCACCCTAGGTCACACTGTGAGTCCATAAAGGAACCCCAGGGTCCCTGTCATGGAGTCCAGTGAGCTCCATGCTCTTCCCTCTTATCCCACTCCCACTCTGGCGGCTGGGTCCTCGGCCACAATCTGTCTTTCCCTTTCCCTTATACCTAGAGATATAAACCTCCCCACACCTCCCTCAAACGGAACGAAGTGCTCAGGTTCCCTACAGGAAGGGCATGCCACAGTACACCTTGGGAACTTCAGACACAGGGCTGAGAAACAGATGGGAAACTCTGAGCTGATGAAGCTGACCTTGCTTTGGTCATGGATTTTCTGTATGGTATTGAGCAGTCAAATCTGTTTTCAGTTTGTTTGTTTGTTTGTTTGTTTATTTTTAATCCTCACTCTAGGACATGTTTTCTATTGATTTTAAAGAGAGAGAGAGGGAGAGGGAGGGGGAAAGAGACGTGAGAGAAAAACATTAATTGGTTTCCTCCTGTGAGCACCCCAACCGGGGGTCAAACACACAACTTAGGTATGTGCCCTGACTGGGATTCGAACCTGCAACCTTTTGGTGTACAGAATGATGCTCCAACCAACGGAGCCATCCAACCAGGGCTAGGCTTAGTTTATTCTCTGCAAAATGGAAATGAGATTCTCTTCTGTAACGACAGAGCTGTTAGAGAGAGAGAGTGAAATCTTTGTCTTTAAGCCCATGATAAGTAATGTTCTGTAATGAAAATAGATCCATTTTTTTTCTTAAAAAATAACAATGGGTGATTAAGAACAGCACATTAATGTCAAATTCTGGTCAGATGAACAGGAAGTTACTTGTTTTCATCAAACAGGGCAGGGTTCCAGTGTGGCAGGGAAAGGAGAAACCTATTTTCATATTTAGAAACAAAAGGATAATTACTTAAAGAAAGTAAGTTTTGGCAAACTTGGGTCCACACAGAAAATTGCTCCTACCAGAGTATTTTCTTTTTTTTTTTTTTTTTACTGTTTAAAGTATTGCATATGTCTCCTTTACCCCCAATTGACCCCCCCCCCTACTCCCACCCATGAGGGCATGCCCCCACCGCCCCAGTGTCTGTG